TGAGTTAGCCTAAGTAGAATATACGAAATCGAAGAGAGAGAATTTATATTTGTACCTCATTCATATTTTGTTCTTAATGGAGTCAAGTTGTAGGGACCATATAATGTTGATTTACTAGTTCACAATTGAGGCTATACATCCATTTACATCAGACATAGAAATCAGTAATGATTCTGAACAGTTAGACAAAAGATGAATAAGGTCAGTTATGAATTCTCTTCTTGTTTCTCTGATTAATAAACAATATCAAATGAAACTAAATAAAGCACTGAAAGTAATTTATCCTATAGCATTCATTTCACCATGTAGTTACCATACATCCATAAAAAATCCCTCGGAATTGGTCGTATAAAATGTATCTTGTACAGACACTTTCATTAGTTTTAGGATGAAAGTCAACTTAACATTTATCAACCATTTTAAAATCAGAATAACAAATAAACTAATATTTCAATCTCAAATTGTATCTATGACCATTGTAAATATTCATCTTTTTATTTAAATATAAAATCTAAACAAACGTTTTTGAAATTTTCAACTAATTACATTGAAATAACTCAATTTTATATTAACCTCATTCACGTTATGTATTAGATGATTTCTTTGAAAAGTTGAATTTATGAGTTCATGTAAGAAAGTTCATCATCATGAAGCCACTAATTCCTGGTCTTAGCCATGTTGGTAGATGCAGACTACTTGGTTGAGATCCACATGACTATCATAACCAATGGTTGGAGATTCTGGTTGACGTGACTCAGAATCGATCATGATGACTTAGGTGTATACAATCTCTGTCTTCCCTTAAACTATGAGATTACAATTACTTGATACCTTTCTTTCGACGAACTATTTCTTTCTTCCTGTATTATGTCCGTATATGCAATATTTCTTTTATATATTACTGCCATTGAAGTGACTACTCTTATGAATTTGGTGTTCATCTTGTTGTGCTAATGAGTTGTGGCAACTTGAACCGATACATATATGTATCTGATCCTACGTTGTAGCTGACTGATTGACTGACTGAATTCATCATTAACAACGTGGAAGCACTGGATGGCCATTTCATCCTAGTATAGTGATCTAGCTTAGATCGGTTCATGAATTCAACTATTAAAATCATTAAAATCTCCACAAACCTCTATTGTAATAATAAACTTTGTAAAGCACAAATTTAACAGGAACACTGAAAGCATGACGCATAGAAGTTGACTGATATTGAAATTTTTAATTTTGTGTCAGCCATTACTATTCGATAATAGATTATTTTAATACTTACATCTAAATCTTTAGTTTCCATGTTGATTAAGAGGGCACCAAGAGGGAACCCTCTAATGTTGATTAAGACGTGATGATAGTTTATAAACAGTCATAATTACTCATACTGGGGATTTTTATTTATTGATTAATGATTCGCATATTATATATAATATACAATACAAAGTGTACTATATGTGACATTTGGTAAAAACCAAAGACAATTTGTTGTTTGACAAAAGAAGCGGGTGATATAATTTTTTTTATAAAAACGGAATGTTTTTAAACTCAGTTGATGTTGTTTATTTGTATCTTCTCATTGTTATTTAAGACTGCAATTGATCAGTCTATTATTGGCATATGTGCATTCTATGCGGACTGCCTCGAAATTGCAATAGGTCACAAGCTTTATAAACAAAGATGAGTAGTGACTAGAATTGGAATGTAGGACGCACGTTTCGTACCAGTTGGAACTCATTAGCGGGATTAGAATTCGCCTCAGAGTTGATGATCGCTGCAGGACTCAAACCCTGTACCATTCGCTTCAAACGCCATCAAGTTATCCAATTAGCTATTGAGTCCTGACATCTACCTGATTGTGCATTGGGTGACATTTAAACTCACTTGGTGTTTTTTACTTTTATCATCTCATTATTACTTAAGACTGCGATTGGCATTTGTGCATACCATGCGTATGCCTCGATATAGCTTTAATTCACAAGCATTATATGCAAAGATCGATAGTGGCCAGCAGTGGAATTCAGTATGCGCGTTTTGTCCTATTTTAGACTCATTCCAAAATCCCAGAGTGAATATAATCTCTGAGATGCTGATAAATCCATCTGACAAGTCTCAAATAGGACGAAACGTTAGTCCTGGATTCCACTGCTAGCCACTATTCATCTTTACTTGTAAATATTTTTAGTTTTGAAACAACAAAATTTTTATGTAACTTTCAAACGCATATTTAACTAATTAAACAGAATGTTTAATCTGATAATACAATTCATATTTTGTCTTTCTTGTAATATGGAAAAGAATAATTTTTATGGTAAAAAACAAACAAGCGAACAAACAATTATACATTCTGGATATGATAATTTACAGCTGTTGATAGGATTTGTGAAAATTTAACTTAAATGAGGAAAGGGAACAAAACTGAACGTTATCTGATGAGATAATACTCAGTTTCAGTAATAATAATAGGAAAAAATCGACAGTAAATAACTATTCACAAGTATCAGCTAACGAGTGCCGAATATGATGAAACACACGTCTAGGATTCCACTGTTAGTCACCATCTATCTGCACTTGTAATCTTCTGTGTCACATTTTTCTAACCTAATGATTGGATTGGATATAATTATATTTTTCTAATACTTTATGTATCGTGGTCGTGTTAGTTATCTAATCATTTGTGTTTTTTCGCATTAGTCCGAGTCAGGAATAAATCGAACGTTGTTTCAGTTGATCCGCCTTTTGTCTCTCGTACTTGTCAACCAATCAAATGTTAGGATGGTTTTCGTCTATCTGACCTCAAGGCCATTTAGTTACCGCGTGGACTTATGCATAATTAGACTCAATGTTTGAACTAGGTAGTCTATTGTTTTAAGACTTCACGCTAGATTAATTAAAATAACTATGGAAAGAGTAAAATCAAGAATAAAGAAAGTGAAGTTTTTAAAATGTGTTACACTAAAATGAAGAGAAAATAATTTCATATTACCAGTGTTGATTCTAAGTAATTTTGAAAATTAGTAGAACATCTCAATTAACGAGATATATAACAAGAACTGAAATTAAAAATATGTGATTGGTTGATAAATAGATGATCTATAAGTCAGATACCTGATGTGAGATGTAAAGGTTTTGGGTTCGTTTCGTGGTGAGATCATGAATATTAAACAATCGGAATTTTGAAATATTTTTTGAAGTAAGAAACATAAAATTACTTTCAGAATAGGAGTTTGTCGAATTCATAGACACACACTATTGAGGAGTTCCATACCAGGACGAAACGGCCGTTCAGTGATTTCAGGTTTTCCAGTTTAGTCTAGAGTAAATCGACTAATGAATTCATCCATTAATTTATTACAATCTCCATAAATCTCCATTCTTATTAATAATCGTCATGTGCTCACTGTTGACTGGCTTCAGGATGTATTTCCTAAAGTTCTAGTGGAAAGCAGTAACTAGTATTTAATCATCGAACACAATGATATACGGTGGCGGAATATTGTGGATTGGTTGAAGCTGAATGTCCAATCAGTGATGTAACAATTAAGCATTCGTGCACGAGACCGAAAATCCTTGGTTCAAATCTTGATGGGTAGGATCGTGGATGAATACTTCTGAGAAGTCCTATACTATAACGAAACAGTTTTCCAATGATTCATGGTTTTCTATGGTGGTATAGCATAGATCAAATTTATGAATTCAAGCATAACATTATTTATTACTATGCTAATATTTTGCTTAGTTATTTAATACACTATTTATAAATTAATAAACCATTTGAATATTGTATAAAAACACAAAAAGATATGAAGTTAGAATAGAATATGTAAAGTTGAGTTTTACAACTGTATGAAATCATCATCATCATGATGATTATACTAATAATGATGATGAATACAGCACTGCTGTATATCGAATCATTCCCTGTGCATATATGTTTACTTTTTGTTTTAGGAAACATTCTTGTTTTATCCTTAACTACTTTCACATCTGACAAATCATTTCACTTAGCAGGTGTAAATTTTAACATAATAATGCAAGATTGTAAGATTGGACTTTTGATCTAAGCTAATATACTAAGTTCATGGTAGTTTGTAAACTTCATTGAGTGAATATACTAAACGTATATGTGTATATACACATGGTTCTATTGACATGATGCACACTACTTAAAAAGAAAAAAAATTATGTAATAGGTGACATTAATTAAGAATTTAAAGTTTTCTTTTTGGGGTTCTATTATACAATGGTTAGTAATGGATATATATGTATGTTTTTATTTGTATATGAATAAATACATTGAAAGGGAGTAACTATTCGGACAATATATGATTGGTTTGATTTGAATAGAAATGTGTAGTTACATATTTAAAGCAAAACAACAACAAAAAAATAATTCTGTGTTCTATTACTGATATTTTACAATTTTTGTATCTGTGCAATATGTAAAACTAGTTTGTTACTGTGTATAATTTCGAGTGTGTGTATATATATGTTTCTGTATGTTATTGTATATATATATACATATAAGTGCATGGATATAATAGGCACAATTCAAGACTTACAATTGTTGGATCAAATTAATATCTATATTTATTCACATGTTACCATTGAAAACATTAATAGTAATAATAATAATAATAGTAATAAATGTAGTAACCGTATCCTTTGATTGGTAAACCAGATTTCCGATCAGTCGAATACACATAGATAGATAGATATTTGTGTGTTTACATAATCTATAAATGAATATACATATGTGCTTGAAATTTAACAAATTACCCCTGTTATCATTTTTTTCTAAAAAAAAAAACGTTAACTAAAATATTGTTATAATTAGAGATTACTTGATCTTCACCTTCATCCTCCTCATCATCATCAGCAACAGCAGTTTTATACATTGTTAACACACATAATAATAATATAACATTAATGTTAACGCGGGAAAGCAAGTTATTAATGAACTTTAAGCAAACTAAATACTTAATCTATTAACGTAATACATAATGAATTTATCAACTATAAATGTAACTCATTCAATAGAATCTTTATCTTCATCAAGTTCACCAGAATTATTAAATACTAATACAATGTTAACAACTAATCATTATACTATAAATTCAAATCTACCATCAATCAATCAAACAAATACTAAATTAAATGGTAATGAATTGAAATTAAACTCTAATCTATATCATCCACAACCACCTCCTCCTCAACTTCCTCAAGCTCCTCCTTCTCATCATCATCATCATCATGCACAACAACAACAACAACAACAACATAATTATCATTCGAATTATCAACAAGAAAATCATGAAGTAACATCATCATCATCATCATCGTCGTCGTCGTCGTCGTCATCGACGTTATCATCTACATCAACAACAAATGGGATAATATCAATGAATCATTTAACTAATTCATTATTATATCCATTTTCATCAAATTTATTATTACAAGAATCATTTATTCATTTAATTTATTCAACATGTTTAAATATATTTGATAAAAGATTAAATGATGAATTAAATAAATTTAATGAAAAATATGAATTATTATTCAATGAATATTATGAAACAAAATATCGTTTAAATAAATTAGAAACTATGATACAATATAATAATAAAATGAATATTCCAATATTACCATTAACATCATCTTCATTCTTGTTACCATCTTCTTTAACTTCATCAACCTCTTCAACTTCTTCAATCTCCTCTTCATTGCCGTCAGATTATTTATTAACTTCATTGAATTCATTGAAATCACAACATTTCAATGAATCAATTATTGATAATAATAATAATAATAATAATAATAATAATAATAATAATAATAATAATAATAGTCATATAATGAATACATTAAAAGAGATTGATATGAAATGGTTAATGAATTGGAAACATAATAATGAAGATTATTTGAGTAGTATAAATAGTTCAAAGAATAATTTATTGGCGCCTATGTTAACAACAACAACAACAACAGCAGCAACAACAACAAGATTAGATGAACAACAACAACAATCAATACAAAGAATAAAAGATAAAATAAAAGATAATCATCCTATAGAATTTGATATCAATCATTTATCGAATTCATTTATTGATTCATCAATGAATGAGAATGAGAATAATAATAATGTAAATTATCCAAAAAATTTATTTCATGAATCTAATATAAATCGATTACATAATCATTTTTATAATTTCAACAATGTAATACCATCCTCCTCATCATCATCAGCAGCAGCAGAAGGAGCAACAGCATCAGCATTGTCAATAAATAATCAACATTTATTATGGAATCAATGGATGGTTAATTGTATAAATTCTGTTAATGGATTATTATCATCATCATCAACATCATCATCGTCATTATCATCACAATCAATATTGAATAATTGTGAAAAAATTAATCATTTCACTATGTCAGATATGGATACTATAGAAGGAAATCAAGTAAGTTATTCATGAATTTTCTTTATTAAAGATGATTTATATATTTATTATGTAATTACTTATTAATATCATTTCATCAAATGAATTGTTGACATACTATAAGCAATTCAATATCAAATGAGTCTAATGAGAGAAAATATATAATATTTGAGATTATGAGTCAATTAAAGCTAGATCACCATGAAAAACCTGGAAGCACTGGATGGCCGTCTCGTTCTATTGTAGAACTCCTCAGCAGCGTACATCCACGATCCTGCCTCATGAGATTTCAATCCAGGATCTATCAGTCTCATACGTGAACACCTAACCTCTAAACCATTTAGCTGGCCGGTATCCAACGGTGTTAATGTCCAACTTCAATTAATCCACCAAATTGAATGACACATCCACCATTGTCTTCAGTGAATCAGTATTATCTCACAACAGATCCTGTTGAAATCCACTGATCATTGCTTCCCACTAGAACTTTAAGAAATACTTTTATATACTATTTCTATAAAATGATTGTTATAGAATTGGAATTGGTCTTAAACATTTGTAAATGAAAGTGAATATTAGCTGACATTGTTTAAAAAAATTCATGTAATTAATTCCCTTCTTGAATTTAAATAAAGCCAGAATGAACATATAGGCAGAATAATATGAATTCATTATCTTTTGTGGTTTCTTATCAGCTGTTTACAACAAAAAATATGTGGATGTGCACTGCTGAGGAGTCCCATACTGGGACGAAACGACCGTCCAGTGCTTCCAGGTTTTCCATGGTAGTCTAGCTTCAACTGACTCATGATTTCAATTTGTGAAAACTTCTAAAATCTCCACAAACCCTTTCTGATAAAAAAATATGTACTAATGTACTAAAATTTTACATTGAGGTAAGAAGATAGTGTGAAACAACTGACATAAGTGAATGTACAATAAATTGTGTGATAACTATAGAGATAATGAAGGGTTTGCACAAAAATCATGATATTAAAAGAAGAGAAAAAGCTGGTAAGATGGGTTGCATAATAATTAAACAAGACTTGAAGAGTTCACATAATTTAATAGAATTGAGTGAATGGAAATGTATGAGTGAAGGGGGGGGGGTAAATGTACATCAAATAAGAATTCGATAATGAAAGATATCTATAACAAACTAAACACTAACAAAATAAAACTAATGACCAATAAATTGAATTACCAAGGTAGTAATAGGTTTATTACTGCCTCTTTTTGGATACATTGCTGTTATTATTATTATTAGCTTTATTCATTACTATATTTTTGGTACAATATAGAATTCTCAGCGTAAAGTATTTCAACAAGTTTCCGTTTCTTACTCCTTGGTCGGTTCTGGCGATAAATATTGAGTGATCGCCAATTATATGTTAACAGTCCGGTAAATGAACATCTGAATAATGTACATCCTTTTCGTTGTATATTGCCCTCAACCACATTGTCTGTTATTGGGTTTTTTGTAACTTTGACAACGAAAGGTTGTACACTTTTCAGAAACGCAGCAGAATAGGTTATGCGATTAATAAACATAATGATATATTAAAACAAACAAAAATGGACAACTTGTTGAAATATCTAGATGGCAGGAACAGGTAACCCAAATGCTCAAGCAGGCCGCCTTTGTATGATCAGGTTTGAGTTGTGTTTTTTTATCGCAGTCGCTTCAACAAATCAAAGAGAAGCAGTATATTCTTTGTCTGCTATTAATTTTAAAATCATGAGGAATATCAATAATATACACGGTGTCAAACAAATGCCAAACTATTGCACTGTTAAAAGCCCTTAACCCTCACAGACTTAATTTCTTTGAAACATGCTCGAAAATGCAAACATGTACTCTACTTTCGGTTCTTTCAATGTATGTGCAAAATGTTCAGAATAAATTATTATGTTAAGTGGAAGTAAAGAAAAAGCATTTTGTAATAATAAATCCCTGACATCATTATAGACTCTTTAAACTATTTCAAGAATCTATAAACATTTATCTGATGTTAACTTGTGAAGTAAGACAGTATTTGAAAATCTTCAACTTAGGTTTCCTAATAATATTCGTCTTGGTTTACGTATGATCAAATATCCAAACTTACTTAACATAACCTATTGAAATCTTTTAGAGATATAAAAGAATTTATAAGCCTTTCATATACTGTTTATGAAAAATATTGAAGACCTGGTGATGGTTTAATTTATCGCTGATCTGATCATGAATCTAAGTATTTTGACTCAGTATTTGAATAGGTATTATTTCCAACCGGATGCAAAGATACATATATGGAGCTGAAACTTGGAGAACTACTATAATCATTATCCAGAAGGTATAAGTATTTATAAATAGTTGTCGACGCAAGATATTTAACATCCGTTGGCCGGATAGCATCAGCCACAACCTTCTGTGGGAGAGAATAAACCAGCTCCCAACTGAAGAGGAAATTAATAAACGACAATGGAAATGGATAGAACATTTTTTACGGAAATCATCAAACTGCATCACGAGGCAAGCACTAACTTGGAATCCTGAAGGGAAGTGGAAAAAAGGAAGGTCAAATAACACATTACGTTGGGAAATAGAAGCAAATATGAAAAGGATGAATATCAACTGGAAGTAGCTGAAAGGTATTGCCTAGGACATATTCGGATGGAAAGTTCTGATGGGCAGCTTGTGCTCCTCCATGAGGAGTAACAGACAAATATACGTACAAAGATTACTTGATCAAGCATAATTTTCGCATATGACCATGTTTAGTTATCTATGCCAATGATTGTCTGTGGTTTTTGATATTAAATAAGTAGTTAAGTCGATTGTTCATTCTTCAGTGACACAGTCAATAATGTCTTAAATAATTAAAAAAGATTCTGAGATGATTTTTAATAATACCTCTCCTGACATAATGCATTTTTCTCATAGTAGTCAGCTGACTAGACTATAAAGTCTCTATAGACTATACTAGTCTATAATCCTATCAAATCACAGAAATAGAATTATGTATTAAAGATGATTTTTAATGTAAAACAATAATACATATGACTATGATTACTAGTCACTTTATTACATAATGTAATGACATTTGAGTATCAATGAGAATATCCACACAGAGTGTTTGAATATAGCAAGATAAAAGACTTTAAAGTGCATGGAACTATCAATCTAGATTTTATTGGTTATTATCATTTATACCTGCAGTCCTGCTTCGGTCTGGGCACCCGGGCAGTATCACAGCCCTCACACATACCGAATGAGATTTGTGTGGCGCATATGTATTTGGTGCCTCTTTGTACCAATATCTATGTGTTGAAATAATAATAATACCTACAATAAAAAATCTTATCAAATACTTTATTCACTTTATACATATTCACCTTTTAAAATCATGTCTCTTATTTAAATTTTGTGTTTTGAAAGAAAATGGTTAAACTCTCCCTCTTTTATCATTTAAAAAGGAAACTTATACAGTTTAGAAGAGCAGTACTTCTAAACCACTTACATCATTTTATCAAGGCAGTTGTACTACATCATAATAGTTTATTTTAACTAGGAAATCATCGAAAGTCAGGAAGTACTAGTTAACCATTGTAATTTCATTTTAAACTTTTCAAAAATCTTTTAAGCAAAGATGAATAGTGGGTAGCAGTGGAATTCAGGACACGCGTTTCGTCCTATTTGGGACTTGTTAATTGGATGTACCTTCATCTTCGCTTATAATGCTTGTGACTTAAGACTATATTGAGGCAGTTCGCACAGTATGCACATATGCTAATAGGAGACTGATCAATTGCAATCTTAAATAACGATGGGAAGATTCAAGTAAACAATACCAAGTGATTTTCAGTAGTCTGCCTAGACGCTTTCAAATGAAATGTAAATAAAACTTTTGGTAGCCGTAAGTGGTTTGTATTTTATAAATTTCGTCAGCTTGTATTATAACACAACAATCAACGATTGTCATCTATGATAATTCATTAAACATTACACATAGTTTTTCATTTGTTATTAACTACTTTATACACTGTTTGTGGTATCTCCCTAAAATTTGCTTTTTACTGAATGGAAAGATATCCAAATGTTGTTAAGGTAGGCATAAAAAACGGGTTGTTTGTTAGCTTGATCAATAGAATAATAAAGTGACCCAGATTAGTATTCAGATTTACTATCTATTATTATGAAATCACCAACTTCTAGTCATAACCATGTTGATAGATGCAGACTACTTGGTTGGGGTCCGCGTGTCTATTGTGTCTATGGTTGGAGACCTTGGGTGACATGGTTCAGAATCGATCAAAATGACGTAGGTATATACACTCTCTGTCTTCCCTTGAACTATGATATTACAATTGCTTTATACCATTCTCTCTACGAACTATTTCTTTCTTCCTGTATTATGTCCTTATACACAATCTTTATATATTACCACCATTGAAGTGACTACTCTTATGAATTTGGTGTTCATTTTGTTGTGCTAATGAGGTATGGCAACTTGAACCGATGCATATATTTGCCTGATCCTACGTTGTAGCTGACTGACTGACTAGTGATATTTCAATTATCAATTTCCAAAATGTTTAAATTCCATCACAAGTTAATATAGATAGTTTGAATAATATAAACTCGAGTAGGAAATTAAATTTCTAGACGTTTACCGACCTTATATAAGTTACTTATAGAACGGATAACTTATTCAAGCTAATTCAAATTTAAGGAACGAATCAGATCGAACATTTAATACGTATAAACAAAGTTGATTTTTTTATTTATTTCGTTGAATGCAGATGAGATATGAAACACGATTTGTGTATTTGTACTCATTTGAGTAGGTGTGAATATCACCTCTTTTAATGGTCTGAAACTATGCTTTCCATTAAGTATCTGATTCATTACTTTTGATTGGTAAGAATGAGTACAGACAAACATATAATGATATACAACAAGTAAGTTAATTTGAATGCCGTAATAATATGGCCTAGATCAGTTCAAATGATGTTCTCTGACATTATTTACTAAAGTTATTCAAATCTTAGAT